CGTCCTGAAAATTAAAAATATAACCTGGGCACAAACAATAGCAAAAGTTACACTTCAGTGGAACAGAGTTAGTGCAAATGACCATCCTCAGGACACAATGTTCAACAAAAACAAGGGACAGAAGAAAACTTTCTGCAGACTAGGTTGTTCACTTTCAGGGATTGTCAAACTGAAGCCAGAAGAAGAGAGAACAAGAACAATGTGAGAGGACGTTCTAGAAAAGAAGGAGAACAAGTAGGAGGGAGAAAGAGTGAGGGAGCTGCTCGACCCTGAGAAGTGGTAGAAGCAGTAGAAATAGCTGCCCCACTTGTAGACACACTTTTCTGGTTGCTCACGGTCTGTCCTTGATGCACTGGGGTAGCTAACCTATATAGCCTTGCTACATGCTGCAACGTCTCCCTCAAAGTCTTGAACCTAGTCAAAAACGCATTTGGCCTTTATCTCCTTCATACACACATGTATGCACACATGGGGAGGGGTGGGAGGCTAAAATCAGGCCACACATGCTGGAAGCTACTGCTGAGTTAAGTCACCTGTGCTGTTAGCATAGCTTGCTAGCGGGCAGGCAGCTGCTCCCCTAATTAAGAGCTCATCTTCCAGAGGGGCGTACATATGGAGGTCTCTATAGCTCCATGATAGTCCTATGATAGGCAGCAAAACCATTTAAAACCAAGGACATAGCATTGTAAAGGTAGTTTTACAAAACCAGCAAGAAATAACTACTTTGTCCAATTTTCCAATTCAAAACTCATTGATTAGCGTCTTCAATAGATACAGACAAGACTAGATGTTTTAATACGTTACACAAATACATAATAGCAAAACTATGTGCATTTTTTTAATGGCTGAAAAATGAGAGTGATAATGTCAGAATGGTTTTCAGAAATTATGACTCTTCAAGTTCAGAAGTTTATATAAACACATACTATGCTGGATTTTCTCAATGTCATGGCATGCAAGCTTCTCATGGGTCAACTCATAAAATTTAAGTTCAGCAGAGGCGCATCTGTGTATTTAACATGAACATAAGATCTTACATTTTGTGAATTAAAAAAAAAATCAAGAAGAGAATTGCGAACATATATAAGTTTGATTTGTATTTGGATATCATTTTCAGATGTTTGAGTGTAGCCAGTTCTTTATTCAAATACACTGGGAATTTCTAGCTTTGTCAAGAAGGAGAAGGTTTCAGTGCAACATAAATTAACATGTTTTGGTGGAAAATATGCAAATCAACCAACTAAAGAACCTGACGAAGATGCTGTCTGAAGCTGAAAAGAGAGCGCTATTATCCAGAGCCATTACCCATGAGCTAAAAGGCAAGTCAGAATGAAAGAAGCAAATACTCCAAAAACAACATAAGGTGCCACATGATGGGCTGATGGAATTGAAATTCAAGTGTTTAACCATAATGACCATTGTTACATTTGGAGAAAAAATGGGCAAGATGGCAAGAGTGAAAACATTATCCCAACTTCGAAGAATGGTGATGGCAGGTGGTACTTTACTGTCGGAGGGACTGGTAAGTGTCACAAGACAACTGGTATCATGCGCAAAGAACACTGCTGAAATGTTGAAGCAACATCTCAAGACATCTGCCAAGAAGTGTGAAGTTGTAAATATAAAAAACCAAAAAAAACCAAAAGAAACCTTAAACATGTCATCCAACATAGCATATGTAAACTTCTGAAACATTTTTCAGGGTTTATGAAACAAAAATTGCATGTGACTTACTGACTGCATGAAGGAAGTATACCTGGTATGCTAATATTACAGTTTTCTACCTGCAGAGCAGATGAGACACTTAGCCACACTTCTTGCATTCAAATCATTACTCACCAATTAATCAAACCACTTCACCACAGAGAGGGGATACAGCTGATTGGATCTTTTCTTTTAAATTTCTTTTAAATGCATTGAATTGGTGGAATAGAAATAGAGCATATTTCTCACTTCGTGACGCTCCTGGTGAGGCAAATCAAGTTAATTGTCAGAAATTAGCTTTAATTACATTTATTTAAATTAATTAGAATGTGAAAAAGAAAGAAAGAAAATATCAGATTTAAGAACCTTAAACAACTTCACAAACTATAAACGTTCAACAGCTAACTTTTCCCCTGGGCTTATAGTCCAAAGCAAAACTAAATATATGGACAGGCAATATGTGATGAGGTAGGTAAGCCAGAATTATAGTACGTTAATGGCTCATATATTGATGAGGCAAGAAAACATAACAATGAACAAATTGTACTGTCTGGGTAACAAATGTAAATATTTTACATTTAAGTTGCTTTGACAAAACAGCCTTTTATCGACTTTGTTGTTCACACCAGGACTAATGGCTGCTTCAGAACAACAAATACAAACAGCAACAAACAGAATGACACACAAACAAATGTTCAGATGTTGGAGCACACACAAGACTCCCACACTTATGCTTTCTTCAGCCTTAAGTACCAACAAGCACACAATAGTCTGTGGTCCTATTCAGGCTACCTAAGAAATGCATTAGTCAGTCCTGGCACTTGGAGTACAATGCAGTCATACAATTCGTACACTGTGGTGTATCCTAATGCAAAAAAAAAAAAAAAATGCGGAAAGGAAGAGATGTACAAAAACAAACAACTGGTACGATGACTGATGACAAGTGTGGCAAAATTACAGGATTCAGAGCTGTACCTGAATTCGGATGTAGCAATAAAGTGGCATTCTCCCGAGCCACGGTAAGAAGTTGTCTTGTTTGCACCTGCTTTGGCGACTTATTGTGAATCACAGAGGGGGAGTGTCACCAGCAATCATGTGCTGCACTGCAATTATAGAGTCAAGATTCACTCTGTGCATCATTGTGCATACCTCAACTGTAGACTTAGTCAACATTTTGTCGCTGCTAGAAAGGAGGGATTTTACTTTCCATCACAACATAAATGCAAGGTTTCTCAAATCTTTCAAAACTATCCATTTAGTCTACCGTGGGTATTTTTTTTTTCTAATTAATATCACATACATTTCTTTACTACACATTGAACATGCGGCAGAAAGCATTTCCCTTCCCATCTCTGGATGCTGAGTATATTTTATCTGTAGGCTATCATGTTATTTGTGCAGCTAACATCCCCACAAGCCAGCTCCTTTGTGAAATATTTTTATCAGATCTTGTCCTGTCACCACCAGCACGTAAAATAAACACATAAACAGAACATATTAAACTGATCTTTCAGACTTCAACATTCAAAACAGGCCTCATTATTATTGCATGAATCCCACGCCTGGATTTGAGCCTCAGCGTCAAAAGGCAAAACCTTAGATTTAAATGTTTTAGCTGATCCATTTGACTATCATAATATCATAAAATATGTGGGGCCTTGGAACATTAAAAGTTGTGTTTTGGAATGTTTTTCTTTTCAAGATTCTAGTGAGAGTTTATGTACAATTTAAAATCTGAAACGTCTGGTGTATTTCTCTTTTTAGCTCCTCTGAATCAAGATTTTCTACTATTAGTACAGCTGTAAGTTTTTGGGGAATTGCCTGGCAGTCAGGTTGAAAGCCAGACAGGACACCCTCATTGCTTCTCCTGTTGTCCAATCGTACCGTCTGCCGTGCTGCTCCTGAGCGTCACACTAAGGCTATTGCGCTAAATCTGCTCAAAAATATAAATAAATCATAAAAGCGCACACGGGATCAGTGCGACCTCTTTGGGATGTGTACAGGGTAAAAAATTTGCGTGGTCAACAGACCCTGTCTCTTAAGGTCAGGGTAAGGTTAAATGGCTTTGTAACTTTATACCTCACCCATCTGTTGTGTTCTTAGGCCTCATTATGCTATTTGTTAACAAATCTCTAACAAACCTCTGAGACCTTCAAAGAACAGCTGGATTTATGAGGATAAATTACACACAGGTGGACTCCAATTATTAATTAGGCAACTTCTGAAAATATTTACAAGAGTTTATTTGTGGTACAGGGAACTGAATAACAATTTATGGCACACTTTTCAGTGAAGATATTTGTGAAAACTCTTAAAATTGTTCCAACAAAATGCAACAAGTTTTATGATTTTAACAAACTGACAATCTGCATACATAATTTTTATAAATTCTTCACATAAACTATACTCAAGTTTCCTACATATTCAAATGTAGAACTTGTATACTGTTGGTCTTCACACGAATAATAAAATAAAGAAACATACAAGGTAATAATAGTGTAAAAGTTTATAGAAAAAGAAAAAGAAGATTTTTCTTTTTCTTCCAATATTTTGGTCATGCTAATCTATTTCTGTCTCATCCAAATAATGCTTTTCATTTTGCTTTCAACTCTGCATGATTTTACTCAAACACCGCCTTTGTCTGCTTTTGCATCTGTGTGGATAAGTCAGCGTGTTGTGTGGGTATTGTGCACCCACTCGCTCACACAATGGCAAAGCTTTTTCCGTTTCACAATGTTTCTTGCCAACTTTATACACACCAGGATTAAAGGTATAAAAGAACCTTTGGAGCAGGGAAGATGAAGAAAAGGTGTTTTAAGAGGAAAAAAAGGGAGAAGAGGAGACAGACCCCAAAAACTCTGCTCCGGTTTCTGTTACAGGCAGCCATTTTTAGACAGTCATCCATTAAGTCTCCTGCGTTCCCATACTGTCAGCCTTTAGAGAAGCCAAAGAGGCCATGTCAGCTGAGGGCATTGAGCAGGCAGGCAGGAGGCAGCATTCTTTCTGAGCACTGCGGGACTTTGAAGGTAGAATGGGAGGAGCAGGTAGTGGACTATAATACAGAGCAAAACATGTTGGGAGAGAGAAAATGGAGTTGGAGAAAAACTTGGACCACAACAGAAAAAAAATTAAGAGAAGTTGATATTAGCTAGGGCATAGCACAAAAAAAAGGAAATGTGTATTTAAACTGTGCTTTGTTTAGTGGCGAGGCAAGTGTCAGAAAATGAAGTGTGTAATGCTGTGTTTGTGTTTCAGTCTGACAGGTCCACTCAGTGTGCTGTCTGTGAGCATCTTACCTCTGCCCCTGTGTGTTCTGTCTGCGTTGTGCGATCAGTCATTTGGCAGTCTTTCATCTTCAGGGCTGCTCTGGCGCTCTCCTGCATACAAAGCAAACACACATGCATCAGTCATGTCCACAGCCCACCCACAAACATCAAATACAAACAAATGATAGGTGCTGCTCCCCCCGCAGACCTGTTGACTGCCTCTGCTTACTGTACAGCGCACTGAAAAAAGTATTGTCCCCTTCACTGATTTCTACTGTTTTTGCATTTTGTCATAGTCTTAATACTTTAGATCAATATGAAACAATTACGACAATACTAAATGCAACTTGAGTAAAAACAGAAAGTAACACTTAAGGCTCTAGTTGAAGAAAAAAACCTAATCATTTTGGTCGTATGTCAAAAAATAATTTCCTCTAAAACAGAGGTGTCAAACTCCAGTCCTCGAGGGCCACTGTCCTGCAGTTTTTCGATGTGCCACAGGTACAAAACACAGGAATGAAATGGCTTAATTACCTCCTCCTTGTGTAGATCAGTTCTCCAGAGCCTCACCTAATTATTCTATTCAGGTGTGATGCAGCAGAGGGACATCTAAAAGTTGCAGGACATCAGCCCTTGAGGACTGGATGTTGACACCCCTGCTCTAAAAAGTAATAACTGGTTTTACCAACATTGAAGGCAATGACTGCCAGCAAAGAGTTTGCAATAAATGGCAATGAGTCTTCTACATCACTGAGGGCCCACTCTTCTTGGAATAATTGCTCTAATTCAGGCACATTTGAGGGTTTTCAAGCATGAATGGCCAGTTTAATGTCATGCAACAGCATTTTCTTTTTTGAGTCTCTATGAGTATGACCTGCTGGTGTAACAGTGGATCATTGTGCTATGAGGGCCATACCATCTCTTTCAGAATTTTCTGACAAAGAGCAGTGTTCATGTTCTATATAATAATAGCAATAATTTATCCAAATCCCGAAGAAGTAAAGTACCCTCAAAGTACCTACCACCAAAAACTCTCTGCAGGTGTGATCATGTTTTTGTGAAATGCTGCATTAGTTTTATACCAGATGACACAGGAATGAAGAGAAAAAATTCTCCTCCATTCCTTTCTCCTCAATCCACATATTTTCCCAAGTACAGCTAAATTGTTTTTGTAAAATGTGATCATTCAGCTGTGTTCTTTTTAGTTAGCAGTGTCGTTCCTCTTGGAACTCTGATATTGTTGAATCATGAACATGGATGTTAACTGAGGAATGTTAGGCCAGCAGAGCCTTAAGATGTTGCTCTGGGTTCCTTTGTCACATTCTCCTGTATCAGACAATGAAGTGTGTAATGGAAAATGAAGCTATCAATGGATTTTTTTATTACTTAGGTCAACTGGCTACTCCTAAGAAGCTGTTCTTGAAATTATTTAGATTGGAAAATGATATGTTGGTTATAAATATCATTTAGCTGTATTGTAAGAAAACTTATGCTAAAGTGATTGATTGAGAGGTCAGGCTGATTGTAGTTTTTGAAACTATTTTTAGCTTTTTTATATATATTAAACTGGAATGTCATAAATTCTAGTCTGCATTCCAACTTTTAGATTTTTTCCTTTACTATGCCACTGCAATGTAATGTTTTATGTTGCCATCATGTAAAGCACTTTCAATTCTCTTTTTGCTGACTTGTTGTACAATAAACTTGCTTTGCCTTGATGATGTGGAACATTTAAGTGCGAAAAAAAAACAAAACACAAGAAATCTGTAAGCGGGAAAATACTTTTTAATAGCAATGCATCACAGCATGTATCCATGCTTTGCAAATTGTCATAAGGAACATGAAAACTAATATCAAGCATTTTGTCTGGAAATCATAAATGTCATAAAAAGGGGGCAAATTGCAGGGGCATAAGGCGGCACTGCTTAAGTGGAGAGGAATTAATAAAAATGGAAAGGTAAAGCTGGCCAACATGAAAAAAAAGGTCCTTCAAGGAGATAATTAATGGGTTTTATCTGGCAGATTTATAGATGCTTGTAGTCAGAGAAGCACTGGCACTTTTCGACAAAATACAGCAATTTTATCTGGACCCAAGAACCAGCCAACTCCTCTCTTACCTCTACGTGATTATTTTTAAAACGAAGGTTGCAAGCCCTAAGAGGAACCCTGCACCATTTCCACTGGGAGCACTTTACGACGTTGTCACTAATCATTCTGACATTTTCTCCCTGTGCCGCTCATGGGTTGGAGAACAGAACGGGTTGAAAGTTGCAGTGAATATGACATATGGAGAAATTGATTAACCTCGATAAAAATTAATCAACCAAATTAAAACAAGGTTTATCGTAAGGGGAATAAAAGAAAGCATTTATATTCCAGCTCCGAACCTGCATTTATAGTCCTCTTCAAATTCAGCACAAATCCAGTTAAAAACAGCAGTTTCCATTAATCGTGTCTGACTACATGAAAAGCAAAATGGGCTTTCTTAAGCTTAATGGTGCATTCAAAGCACCAACAGAAAACTTATGAAAGTTTATTATCTCATAGAAAATCTGTGTTTTTCTATGATATAATAAATAAGGTTTCACAGGCAGATTTTCAGAATAAGAAAACTGCCGATGGCCTACCTACCCTTTACATCTGATGCTACACTTTAACTTTGCTTTGAAATAAATATTTGTCTAAAGCAGATCCACTACACTATGCAACCAGAGTTCAAGCATAAAATGCAAACACAGCAGGGAAGTTTCACAAATCTGAAGAATACCTGGTTGTCACATACAGGTTAAGATCTGGTTGCAGTGCAGAAATGATCCACTTACAAATACCAAATATGCAAAGATTTTAAGATATTTATCATTCCTTCATACTTTAAGAATCCAGAATTTCTAGGAAAACTGCAAGATTATGCTTGCATTTATTAAATTTCAAACAGATATGAGCTTGAATTGCTATATTCTGACAGCTATTGACAAAAATGCACAGATTCTCAAGGGATTTTAGCATACATAAGTGACCGCACGCCCTTCACTTTTGCAAGCAAATGGGAGAAAACACAAATAGAAAAACACGGAGAAAACTTTTGAGGAATTTTTGCAATCATATAGTGAGAGAAAGGTGTCCCCAGATGGCCACACAAAGCCAATTTAGAAAACGGCAACAACATTTTCCTTCACTCACACTCATGGCATCAGAAAAACTCTCTGGAGGAAGGCTGAGTATTTCATTGTGCCGCACATTAGATGTAGAGAACTCAGACTAAACCCATTTGGGGAATATACATGTACTTGTAAGCTAAAAAACATTTTTTCCAGATGGTTTAACTCTAATTTGTTCAGGATTAATTTGCCGTTACAGACGGGGCGGGGGTCTGAGAGGCAGGGGGGCCATGTGTTAGGATAAATGAGCAGACATAATCTCATGGAAAATTGAATTCATTTTCATTTAAAGGTGGTTTTAAAATAGTTCCACAGGTCTAAAGACAATGTATTTGTAAATTTGAACACAACAAATACAACAAGAAGCATTGAATACAAAACAGTCTCCTACATTATTAGGGTCAGCAGGATATATAATGTTATTGTAAAGTCTTTTGCAGCTCTGGTGGCCTTTTATGAAAGAAATTTTACATGAAATGGGGAAAGACATGAAGCAATGGACTACAGGTCAAGAACCCAGGATATCTCAATCAAGAACTATGCCCTCCGTATAAGAGGCGCCTGCTCTAATGCTACATCACACGACACCACTAATTATATTGCTCTAGAGAAAAATTATAGGAGTAGTATAAATGTCATAGTGATTGCCAATTTGCTTGATTTTAGTATTAGGTCCATATCAGTTGCACCAAACAAAATTAAAATGGAAAACAGATTAAAACAGAGGCTGCTGACGGGGAAATAAACCGGGGTGATAGAGGAAGATGAAAGAGCAAAAAAAGAAAAAAATGGATGCGAGTGCCAAAAAGTGATCAAACAAACAGATGTTGTATGAGACTCAAGTCAGTGGGTTGTACTGGCATCGCTCACTGCTTTAACACTGACACATTATTCTGCAAAGGCTTGGCATAATGTCTGCATTCCATTACTTTGGTGGAACAGGTGACAAATTACAGACATGCGGATGACAAATGATGATGGATTTTGCTGTATTGAGCATTTCAGTAGCTGTTCCAGGAATCAAGGTACCAAAAAGCACTTGAAAATACAGTGATACAATACATTTTTCACTAAATGTGTTATGTTATATGAGTATTGAAAGATAGAACAAGACGGAATTAAGGGATTGCTTTCCATCCTTGGCTCTTTATCTTCTTGTGGGAGAAATTTCAGACTGAGCACAATAATTCTGCTGTTCAACTGTGCACGCATGAGAGAGCAGCTTATATATACAAAGACAAAGTAGGTATTTTTTTTGTCAGCTGATTCTGATATTATGAAAATTCTACAGCACCACTGTAGCATTTCTTTTCCCTCGTCTTTAAAGTTGGAGTTTTTTCCCCCAGCCACTGTCTTCTATTGCAAGAATAAACATGTTGCCTTGAAAGATAAATATCTTAGTTTGCTGAAATTTTCTATTCAATTTTACAGTCAGAATCTATTTTTACACACTTCGAAATTTTAAATGGTTAGCATCTACAACAAAGAAAAACACAATTGCACAGAAAAATGTCAGGGCACAAAACCGCTTCAAATTTCCCAGAGCTGTGCAACAAGTCTGGTTATCTTCGTCCAACCATCAATGAGTCTGCTTTAACTTTACCAAACCCTGTCAGGTAAAAATGTTTGGCATGAATTACAAAATAGAACTTTGATATCTGAGTTAAGTAACAAAGTTCATTTATTAGTTAATTAATAATTAAAATAATAAAAATATAAAGATCAGTGTCGACATCATAACAACTGAATGGTGAGGTGAACAACATTGACTCTTGATCACAGTAGATTTCCTCAAAATTGTTTGAAGAAAGATTATTGGTCAATTTAATAATGTTAAACCTTGTACAGTTTTTACATTTGAGGCTTTGGGCAATCTTATACTCTGGAACCTCGAACCAATTGTCAATGTCAGTTTTAATGAAGCTGACCAAAGTATTTTACAAGATAAAACTGCAATTAAGATAAAATATTTAAAATAATAATAATAATAAAATCATGGTAAAGTTGTGCTGTGGTACATTATCTTGTGGTAGATCAGGCATCTGTTGGACTTGCTGGATTAACTTGAGGACCCAACCTCACAACTAACAGAACTTCCAGGCTGATCATTTCTATCTACCAGATATCACAGTTAATTTTCAGGGGATCTGGTGGAATCCAGGCATTGACTGGTCAGGGCTACTTTGGCAGCAAAAGCAGAACCGCCAGACTCTGTGTCCATATTTTTGTACCAGACAAGTCTTCTTCTTTTCAGCACCTTAAAATGTTCTGCTTTACATCTTTAACAGTATTTCTGTAAGTTTCAGTAAACTAAATTAAAGATTTCTGGATACCTTATTTAAAAACATGATGACTTAAATTTAAAATTTCCAACAATTTCAGAAAAAAAAACCCTTAAATTTAACTAAGCTAGCTTATTTAATTTGTTGACAACTTATATTTAATTTACTTAATGACATTTGCTAGTTGGATCAAACATTGTCTGCCTATGTTTATTGACTCTGAAGTATAAGCCCCTTTCTTCTATACCAAGGTTTGTTAATTTCAATGCCAGTAAGCTCCATTACAGTGATTGATGACTGGTTTTAGCCAATGACTAAAATGTCTGAATTCAAACCAAACTTTATAAATCTTACACTCTGATGACAAATGAGCTAGAAGTGGAACATAAACAAGGAACTTTGATTTTAATTTGTCTAAACAAACAATAAGAAGAAAGTTTTACAAACAGAGTTTTTTTTTAATAAGTAATTGGAAAGTCTAAAAATCTGACAATAGATTTCTCCTGAAGGGAATGTTTGCCAGTGTGCATCATGTCCTTTGCGTTTTTTTAACGATTGAACAATATCTGAAACTCTTCAGCAGAAGCTATAAGACGTGGAGCAAAAGAATGCTGCCAGAACATTCAACAAAAGAAAAAACTGAGATTGAAACAGAATGGAAGAAGCAATAAGTAATATTAATCTGAACCAGATATTTAGACATACTAGATATCAGACACAAAGTTTTAAGGATAGATATTACTTTTTGCAAATTCAGAAGTTTACATGCACTATAGTTCCCACACCTTTGAACAATATGACAACACCTAACTGATTTAATTTTTAAATTTCATCAGACAAATGTAAGAGGTTAGAAATAGCAATTTTGTGTTAGAAATGCTCAATTTATTTCTTAAAATTGGGTAAGGAACTCAAAGCTTGGCCACAAATTAGTCTTCCAAATGAACAACAATCCAATAACCAAGTCAATGTTTTAAATTGGTCTTCAGTCCTGTAGACAATTTCTGAGCAGAACTGAAAATGGGCCACACTCCAGTTTTTGGAAACCCAAAATGTGTGATGTCACTCATACGACTTAAAAGACATTTCTATCAAATATGAAGGAAATCAGTGTAAACGTCTGAATGTCAAGAAATGAAAAACAAAATGTTTCCTTTGACTATTAAATACAAGTTGTATTTAGCAAATAGAAATTATTTTTGGGAATCCACAACAATAATTTGTCTTTCTATGCAGTATTAATAAATAAATGATTTCAACTGCAACTGAATGAACCAGGTATAAAAAAATCTGCACAAATATTAAGACTTTCAAAGCTCCAAAATTGAAATAATTAAATATGAGACTTCTGACTTTTAAGACCCCACAGATTCCAGTATTATCAGGACAAATGCGTGATTTTACAGTTAAGCTAATTATGTTTATCCTGTAAGTCAATCTTACCAGTTCACTCTGGAGTCTGAGAATCAGCTCATCTTTTTCTCTCAGCTGCTGCAGCAGGGTTTCCTCTCTGTTCAGATCCTGAGCACAAGAAAAGACACCGTTTTAGACATAAACCCAAAGGTAGCTGAGATTTATTCCTGGGTGCCATACTCAAACATAACAATGGCAGAAGGAGCTGGTCTTATGTTTGTCATGTGTTTTATTTGTATTTATGAGTTTATTTGAAGGTAGTATTGCTTGCTTGTGTGCCTGTAATAAAGGTGTCATTTTGTGGCCGTTTTGGAGTCCAGATCTCCTCTTGTTGCAGCTCAGTGATTAGATTTATGTGTATAAGTGACACCATCACAAGCACACAGCAATTTAATATGACCTTCAGTTGTCATGGGACATTACTATAAGAAAAAAGACACAACAAAGACAGGAGACATACAATATAGAATAAGAACACTTCTAATATATATATAAATACTCAAAAAACTATAATTCTGTTTATGCTCCCCCATATTGTGTAATATAGTATGTATATTCTGAAAATTGCCATCTTGTCCAATGTTTTGATTCATGTTTTGATGACGGCAAATAGGAAAACAAGGCTCCCATGAAGGTCAAAAGTAAAACGTTAGACCAAACAATTTTTGTTAAAAATACTCAAATTGTTTCTTAAAATTGAAAGGCATTTTAAACTGTCGGCAAAGAATAACAAAGTGAGCATGAAACAGACAAGCGAGAAGTAATGAGTGAAAAGATGGACAGAACAAATTGACAGGCAGTCATTACCTCGTCAAGGGCATCGTTAGAAAAGAAGGGAAGAGGGGCAAGATAACAGGAGGAAAATGAAGAGGGAAACTTAGGAAAAAAGTGGAGGTGGGGGTAGTGATGGAGCGAAGGAGAGGACAGAGAGGGCCTGAGGCTTGGTATGATGATCTGAAACTATGGGGAGCTGTCTTGCTAAAGGACACGGAGTCAGAGAGACTGCAGGGAAGCATATATCTACTTCCCCATCCATTTAAATGACCTTGCTAACGCAAAATCAGATACCTACCCTGGAACATTTCCTGAAGGTACATCAAAATTCAGTGAAGAAAAAAATGCAACCTGTGCATGATTACAGAGGCCCTCAGAAATCATCTGGTTCAATAAAATTGATTAAGATTGCACTTTAGGTCATAGGGAGGCCTGATGCTCCAGCGTATGGCTTGCCTACAGCCTGCTCTCTCTGGTGTTTCTTTGAGCCTGTGTTCCAATGCCCAAGGCTTTTCTATTGTTTACTTGATACAGTTTGTGTTTCACTTCCATCGTGCTGTTGTTTACAGATCAGCACTAATCGGTAATCATCATATCAAACACATAAAAATCGGGACTCGTCATATCAAGAAAAACTCATCAAAAGAAGAAAAAGCTATGAAATAGCTGGCCGGACCCCAGAAAAAGTCAAAATGAGTTCTGGACTGTAACAAGCTAAATTGATGCATTTCTCAGAATAACATAATGACCAAACAGAGGGCTGCAGGCACAACTTTCTTCATGAATGATGCAATTCTGATTATTTATAGTATGAAACTGGTAAGAAATCAGAAGTCCAAACATCTGAAAGTGGTCAAAGTGCTGTTGTTCCACTAACCATCTTTGTGAAACTTTGATTCTCGTTTTGGTACTCCACAGACCTTTGGAGACTGATTGCCCCAGACCACTAATGACTTCCTTTTCTTACAGAGATTAGGCGACACTGGACAATGTTTGACTCTCAAGATGTTTTCTGCAGTCGCTCTCCTGCCTTATAATGTTGCCAATAAGTACTTTCAACACAAACCTGAGAGCAACAAATGTGGTAGAATCTGTGAACAAATTTAGATGGCAATACACACAAAATCTGCAAAAAGTAAGGAGAAAAGTTAAGATGATTTTGCTTCCTGACTTCCCCATTTTATATGCCCAACTAATGATGAGGTCTGTGTTTACCTCAAAAGCTAACAAACTAAAAGCTCTGCTAAGTGCCTCTGCAGTGATAAAACCAATAGCATATGTTTTCCAAGAGCAAATAGGAAAACAATTAACAAAAACAAAACCCACTGGTGTTGAATCAGAATGGCCCCCCACTTCCCTGCCTTTACACAGAAGATAACGTTATTTATAGATAATAGAAATATTTTTTTCCTCCACTGCTTGCTTAGACAGAGGCAGCACCAAAATGACTAGCATGAGGTTTAGATTGGACAGGAAAAGCAGCTGCATGCTGCGACAATTACCACATTAGTCAGCCTCTAAAATTAATCTCACCCAAATAGGAATGGAGGCTAAACTAAATGAGCTGTCTGGTTAAATCCACACATCGAGCATCCTCCTGCACCTTGTGTGAATCCAACAAACTTTTTATGGAACTGTCAGAAAAATTATCCAAACTAAACCTCGTAGTCATTTGGCTCGAGTGCTAATACTGTACCAAGCAGCAGGCTTCAAAAATTATTTCATGCAGGAATCCATTCAACAAACTCAACAGTAAAAATGACAAAGTTTACTCCAGTGTTGAAAGAAGCACCACACAGAGAATTAAATCTCCCATCAGGTGGCATTCTAACCAATTTTTCAAGGCTGAATTGAATATAGAAGGCTGTGGAAGAAAAGTGGGGCATGTGAATTTATTTCTAATGTGATTGGGATGGCCTCTGAAGGGATAAATCAGATCAGAATCACTGAAGTGCGTCCACTTCGGGGAAAAGATGTGCTTTCGTATAGAAGTTGAGACCTCTTAATAATTGCAATCAGTACCCAGTTGAAAGGCTACAGAGATGAATTGCATTGCACCGTTTTGGCAGATATGTTTCATTTTCCTAACTTTTATGAGAACCATACCATTAGAAATGCAATGGTTCTTTCTTATTACTCTACCAACACATTGCAAATCATATTGGGAAGAAAGATAGGCAACAAATCATTCTCAATCATGCCTCTTCTATCAATATCTTTATGACAGACATTCAGCATCTATCACTGCTACTCTTATGACAGGTTCTTGTGAAATAGCAAAGCTGGAGTGTACATCTCACCACATTTACAGTTACCCCTGCACCATACTTGGCCAGTACTGTCTCCCATCATTGCTTTCTTTGAAACATTAGGCCAATTTGTGCAGGTATCTGAGAAGCAATTATTGTTTAGAAAATATTTTTAGAAAATCGATCCACAGCAAAAAGCAATAAAGTCGAACCTAAGACAACGAGCCTCATGTCATGTTTTACAGTGATGCTATTATTACTACTAGTAATAGTATTAGTATTTCTTGGTCATACTAGAGAAAAACTACAAGAAAGTCAGAAAACTAAGTTTTAAACTAAACTATAGCTGAGCTGCAATCAGAAAACTCATTGTGCATATTATCTCAAAATTTATAAAACGACAATCAGTTTTGCAATAAAAATGGAAGCAATTCTGAAACTCATCTCATTTATCTCTTAGAACTGCACAGACAATTTCTCTTGAGAGCATTTAATCATAATTTTATTTATTGGCTAATTTAAACCAAATGCAGTTTATATTGCATCCCATTAATGGTGGTTATCTATTGCATGAGTGGTGCGCTAAGATATTATAAAATCAAAACTTGCAGATACAGATGCCAGAATACTAAGCAAGGCTCAAAGAGTTGATCTCTTTGTCTCTGTCCTTGCCCTGTTCCACTTACTTCAAGAACATACTGACTTTAAGACGAAATTTTTTATTAATGAAATGACACACTGATAACCAACACAAAGACCATCTGGATAACTAAATACAGAAATCTACTCAAAAATGTAATTAAATTCTTAAAGTATTTTCTTCTTATGTTGTCTTTTTTTTTGTCAATTCATCAGCTTTCTGTGTCAAAACCAAGAGCACAATTTTGAGAAAAACACATTCACAGCTTTTACCTTGAGTTTGTTTTCATCAAAACTCGTAATAAAAAATTCAAAAAGGACAGTTTTTTGAACACATTAACACTTTATTAGATAAAACTGTTAAGTTGTTTGTTACCATTATCAGCATATCACAAATAACATGAATACAACTTGACATAACGCAATGATATGCATCCATAATGCTGTGTATCAACAGTGATGTAATGTCGTAGTGTAAATTTTCTCCGGGCCCCTTGGCAACAACCAAGCAATTTATAAACACTCCTACATGAGTGTTATTGATAACCATGTTCATTTTTTTATGACCATAGTGTATCTATCTTATCAGGGCTACGCTTAGCAAGACAACTGACTGTCTCAAATCCCAGATTGTTTTTCTTTTTTAAACATGAAAATGAGGTCACAAGGATAAGTTATCTTCCAGATCTCTCTTTGCTATTTTTTCAAAGTCTGTGATTTTGTTTGTAAATAACATATCGAATTGCTTTTCGTTTGTATGCAGTTGAATTAATATTCAGGAAGATGAATAGAGAATCCACATCGTCCCATCACACATCAAGAAGATACTTGTAGCTTTCTACTCCACAGTGACAGGAAAACTGACTGTGGCTCCAGTGACTACATTCAAACAATGAAATTAAAAAGTGGCACATAAATTATGAGCACCTGCTTGTGCTTAACCAAATGTGATGTTGATCTGAAGGCTGAATCCACACTTTGTTGTCACGCAAGAATTGGAATAACAAGCACAACTTCAGTTTAAGTTTTGAAATCAGGGAATGTTTATCCAAGTGGCTTCGTAGCAGAGGTACAGCAACACCAAATGGAAATCTTCATAATAAAACGAACATGAGAATTTGTTTGGTTAATGTAATTAAAGGTTAAATTTCTGTCATCTGGGGGGATGGCCTCGGCAGCTTCAGTAAGGAACGTGACTCCCCACTTTTGAGGCGACACAACCTGGGTCTGAGTACAATAGGGCCATGAAAGCCTGCAGTGCAAAAATGCATTTGAGATGCATAAACTGTTAATATATTCTAATATATGTTGGCAAAAAAAACATCATCTATGACTACATATGAATGTAGCTGAATAAGTGCAGTTAAATATTTTATGTTGGACTACGAGCCAATGTGTTCTGATTCATGATGGACTTTCTTGAAACTGTGAAGCTAATCTGGTCAA